AGTCAGAACAGGGCAATTTTCAAATGTTCGTATGAGAGTCCATTGGAATTTCTTGACAAGGGATTCCAAAAGCATCCCTATATTGGTTTCTTCTTCATTTTTCTTTTGTCTTCCAAGGCTGGACTCTAGAGTGCTGGATTCAGGATTTGCTCGAGGTATTTTGATAGCTGTTGGAGTAGTTAGAATCAGTGTCAGTTCCCTCTCAAAGGCTTCTAGATAGGGGGAGAAAACAAATTTATCCACCATTTTAGAACAATAGTGGGTTGTCTCCCTTACCTACAAGTGGGCACTACAGTATTGGAAACCAAGATTTGAAGTCTTACATCTGAGCAGCACTTTCTGGTTAGGAACAAGATCATCAATGAGAAATAATTGTCTAAATAAATTTTTATGTAGACTTAAGCCTAATGTCTGGGAAGTGTAATCCCTTGAACTCTTAAATATATTGATGACTTTACTCTTTAGTTATAATTTCCTTTTTGGTGTTTAAAACCATACATTTGGCCCAAATAAATAAATTTATTTTAACACTTAAGGTCATTTGAGGATCTGTTCCTCAGGGGTCACATGGGCTTGGGAGGACTCCTTTCTTTTACCAGTTCCATCTATGTGAAGATAAGTCAAAGGTTCTGCTCGACCATGTCTGGCTTCACTTGGAAGCACGGATGAGATGTTTCCTCTGAGTTGACCCTCCTCTTTGTAGACTGGACACTGGTTCAAGTCCATCTGGTGGGGTCTCCATGGCCTCCCTGAACAAGAGGACAGGTGACTCAACACAGTTACAGGACATTTTGAGATATGTTTCATAGACCCCTGGAACTTAGTCGACCTTGGAGGGCAAGGGGCAAAAACTGTCCTTTAAGTCCCTCTGACCAGATTAGTATAGGCCTCAAAGTATGGCTGTTAAACATCCAATAAGGTTAGTTCCACTAGTCTGGTACTTTTAATTACCATGTGCTTTATAGATAAGGCTTCAGTAAAAACCAAACAGTCTCAGATAAACCTTGACTAGATATATATTTTGTTACTTAAACTAGTTGACTAAACTATGATCTTAGAAATTTTAAGATTATGTGTATGTTATTTTTGTCTCATCCTTTATACACCATAACAAACCTACAGACCTTCATTACTTGCCTAGGCTTTCTCATTTTTTCTATTTTGGAAAATATCTCTATTCTCATATCCTTTTAACATCTTTTACATTCTCATTTCCTTTTCTCTCTTTTTTTTCAATAATTATGAGACATAATACCATTAAAAAATAAATTTTCCATCTGTTGTGAGACTTCTTTTCCTGGGGATGCTAAGCAATGCTTATTCCCTTTTAACGTTCTAGTGTCAAGCCAATGTTTGATTAAAGTTTTACTGGGGAACCAATTAATTTACTGAGCTTTTCGAGATAACTGAAGGGTTGCTGAGGTGTATGTATGACCTGAGGGTATGCACATTAGAAATCCTTTACCTAGCATGGGTCATGCCTTCTCTTCCTAGCCTTCCCCACATTGTATACTTTAGCCCTCCCCAAATCCAGGAAATCATGTGTGATTAGGGAAAAATTATATACAGTTGGTTGGGAAGAGTGGCTGGATACTCCGGTGAGGGTCCAATGACCCTGCTTGGCCCTCATTTAATGAATGAGCACAACAGTCAACAAGCCCAATTGTGAAAATGTTTAGCAATCAGACACAGCTGAAGTCGTGATGATGGTAGTTATTTCATACAGAAGAGACTGCTGTGCACCATCATCTTATTAAAAGTACATGGAACTTAAAAAGGATTTGGTGCCAGGAGCTACACATGAAGAACATACATCGTTTGTTTTTCTGAGTCTTTGTTACTTCACTTAGTATAACAGTTTCTAGATCCATCCATTTACCTGCAAATTTCATTATTTCATCTTTCTTTACTGCTGAATAGAACTCCACTGTGTAAATATACCACATTTTTGTTAACCACTTGTCAGTTGAGGGGCACTTAGGTTGCTTCCATCTCTTAGCTATTTTGAAAAAGCAGCAACAAACATGGTTACAACCAAGTGTCTCCACAATAGGATGAGTCTTTTGGGTATATGCCAAGGAGTGGTATAACTGGGTTGTATAGTAGGTTCATTTTTAGTTAAGAATGCTCCACACTGTTTTCCATAGGGGTTGCACAAATTTTCAATCCCACCAGCAGTGACTGAGTGTTCCCTTTCTCTACATCCTTACCAGCATTTGGTATCATTTGTTCTCTTGATCCTAGCCAGTCTGATTGGGGAAAGATGATACCTTAGGGTGGTTTTAATTTGCATTTCCCTAATTACTAAGGATATTGAA